GATGCACGAGTGCAAGGTGGTGCTGGCGGCTATCCAGTGCAGCAAGGGACGCCTGCACGGTATCCAGATGCTCGCCAGAAGAAGTTGTCGATACGCCCATTCGATGGAAAATAATTGTACGTTGGGCTAGGCTCGGGTTTCCTGGAGTGGGGCCGCCGTTTCGAGCGCCAAGTACAGCTTGCGCAGTCAGCCTGTGGGTTCTGGTGGTCTGAGGACATGAAGGTGAACCTGTTGGGACACTGCCTGTCCGGAACCGCGGAGCGGTACTACAATAAGCAAGTGGGCGCAACTTCCCACACTGCAATATGTTATGGAACGTATGCTGGAAGCATTTAAGACGAATATCACGCCTGCGCAGGCGATGAAGCTCTTCACTGCACCTAAGGACGCTAAACGCAACTGGTCGGAGCACTACATGTACCTCGTAGCCATATCCGAAGCGTGCGGCGGCGGAGCTGGCTATCTTGCGCTTAGTAATATAGTGCAGTACACGTCTCCTGAGTTACGGACGGTGCTAATGGCCAAGGTCGACGCGAGCAGGACGAACTATCTGCAGCAGGCCGAAGAACTGGCTCACTTCGCGCAGGCCTGGGAGTTAGATCCGGTGAGGCACCGGAGCCTTGGAAAAGAGCTGGTGGGAGCAGTTGGCGAGGCGCGTGGTAGAGAAACGCGTAAATGCCACGAGTGTGGCCGAGTTGGGCATCTGCGTGCAGCGTGTCCGGAGCGTGGGCGAGGAGGCGACGGGGAACCGGATTTGACCCTTGCCGTAAAGAAGGACACGGTTGCGACCGAGGAAATGTGGATCCTGGACAGTGGATCTAGTAGACATCTAGTCAGTGACGAGTCCTGGCTGGACGAAGTGGAGGAGTGCGAGGACGTATGTGTGCAGCCCAGCGGTGAGCCGTTGCGAATAAGAAAGAAGGGCACACTGACACTCAGAGTCTCGGCATGCGGTGCCGAGCAGACACGCAAGCTTACGGACGTGTACTACGCCGAGGGCGTCGTACATAATTTGATATCGTACGGAAAATTAGACGAAAAAGTTTTCACACTGACCTATAAGAGCGGACGACGCGTCGTGGCCGCTAAGAATGGACAGCGTGTGGCTTTTGACGTTGAGCTACGAAGGAACGTGCCGATTGTGTGCGGATCGGTAAAGAAGAAGCACGAACTCGCGTCAGACGTGATCATGGCCGCGCTCACTGAGGTGGTGGCGGCGACCGACGGCGAGACGAGCAATGTGCAGAAGGGCACGCTGGTCGAGTTTCATCGACGTCTCGGGCACCTGAACTATGATGCCGTGGAGCGGTTGGCACGCGAGCCAAGCTCCGGCATCGAACTGACCGATCGACGGAGAGTGAGCTGTCTGACTTGTGCCGAGGGCAAGCAGACGAAGAACAGACAATCGAGCAAGGACTCTGGTGAGCACGCTCCCACAGATCGCGTGAGAGGCGTGATCTGTTCCGACCTTAAAGGACCCATGACCCCGAAAGATCGCCTGGGTAACAGATATATGATAAACTTTGTCGGCCACAAGTCGAACTATTGTGGGGTGTTTCTCGCCAAGACGAAGGATGTAGCGGCAAGAAAGTTCGAATAGTTCCTCGTCTACTTCGAGAAACGGTTCGACTGCCGGATTCACGTCTTACGAACGGATTCCGGAGGTGAGTACGAAAACGTGGATTTGTTTTGCAAGAGAACTGGTGTCGCACGACAGCGCAGCGAGGCGCGAAACCAAGTAAGCAACGGAAAGGCTGAGAGGATGCACCGGACCATTATGAATATGGCCAGGTGCATGGTGTTTGCCTGCGGATTTCCTCTCAGTTTCTGGGGAGATGCTGTTAGATACGCGGCGTACATTTTGAACCGGTCCCCAACCAGCTCCAACCCAGGGCGTGCGTCACCGATTAAAGTACTGACGAAGCAGACGCCGCAGCTAGGGGAGATAGTTGTTTTCGGGTCCCCATGTACTGTTTACAGGGACCCGCGGAAACAAAACTTTGCACAGAGAGCACAGGCAGGCATGATTGTCGGAATCGGAGAGGAAATAAAGGGCTACAGAGTTTACTTGCCAAAGGACAAGGTCGTGATCGTGACACAGCACGTGAAGAACATGGAGACGCTCGACAAAGAGCAGAACGAGAAAGTGCAGTGGCTGTACCTGCAGGACGACGAGGACATACCTCAGGAGGGGTCGGAAGCTGCTAAGGAGACGCCCAAGGGCGGTGTGGCACCTGCCGAGGCAGGGAATGCGAGTGGAAGCACTAAGAAGCGCTTCAAAAGGAAGAAGAAGAGCTGGACTAGGGATCGCCCAGTTACGCGTTCTGTAGTTCAACGGTCAGGAGGAGTCGGCCCAGACCTGGGGGGCCAGGAGAAGACTCCGCCCGACGTGGTGAACAGTTTAGTGGAGCCGGACCCAAAGACTACCGAGATGCAATCAAGAGTCGACACCGATCGCGGTGGCTGAGGCCATCGCGGAGGAGCTGCAGGCTCTCGAACAGAATGGTGTGTGGAAGGTGGTGAAGCTCCCGCCTGGAGCACACGAATTGCACGGAAAACGGGTATTCCAGACTAAACTGGATGCGGAAGGTGCGATTGAGCGGCTGAAGGCTCGCTTAGTGGCGTGTGGAAACGAACAGATCTTTGGCGTCAATTATAGTGTTACGTTTGCTGCGGTGATGGACATGAGCAGCGTTAAGCTGATTCTCGTGTTGGCCAGAAAATGGGGCGTGCCTGCCAAACATGGCGACGTCCCCAACGCGTACGTTAAAGCTGATAAAGAGGATGATTTAGTCATTTACATGAAGATTCCCAAGGGAAGGGAGATCTCGGACGAGATGAAGAGGTCACTGGGTGTTAGACATGGAGACGAGGTGGTACTCGAGCTGAAGAAAGCACTTTATGGTTTGAAACAAGCTGGGCGACTCTGGAGTGACCTCCTGCACCGCAAGCTAAAAGGGATTGGTTTCACTGACTGACATGTGTGTCGACTACAGACGACATGTGTAACGGGGTTACATGGTGTGGAACACACAGGGGTACGAAGTACCCGGAGAGTTAACAAACTCTCAGTACATAAGTTGGAGAGTTAACAAGGTCTCTCAGTACGTTGGCTGAAAGCCACACGTTATGCATTTGATTAGGTTTAACTATGCTAGATAGTTAAACAGATACATTTACCCCTAGGCGGCTTGGCCGCAATAATAGTAAATAAAACACTTCTGGTTTTGAAGCATAAAGGTTAAGGTATTAACTTTGAGCCCTGGTCTTGGGCTGTAAGTGTCCTTTGGATAAGGAACTTAGTATTAGTGACTCTTTGAGTCGAACGTCTTCCTCTGACGCTAAAGCTACGGCAGCCCCGCTGCAACATGGGCGCGAAGTGCTGGTAGTCGGCGTATACGTTGATGACCTACTAGTGACCGGAACGGGACAGGAGGCCGTGGATGCGCTCTTTGCGGAACTTGCAGACTTATCCATCAAGAATTTGGGAGAGGCCAGGAGGTTTCTCGGGATGAGAGTCGTGTACGATGAGTCGTATGGGTACGATCTCGACCAAGAAATCACGATCACAGAGATGCTGAATGAGTTCGACATGGGTATGGCGCACGGAGCGCGGATGCCGATTGGACTAGAATGAAGTGATGGATGTGACATCGAACTAGAGAAATTGCCGATCTCCGGTGCGTCCGCGGTTGCGACAGTGAAGAAGTTCCAGTCGCTGGTGGGCAGCCTACTCTGGGTAGCTCGCTGCACAAGGCCAGATATAGCTTTTGCTGTTCACAAGGCGTCGCGGCGAGCGCATGAACCCACGGTCACGGACTGGAAGTTGGCGAAGCGAGTACTGCAGTATCTCGCTGGGACGAAGCAGCTGAGACTGCGGATGAAAGGAGACAGAGGGCGGATGGAGCCACTGGAAGTTGTGGGCTATAGTGACGCGGACTTTGCGGCTGATAAAGGCGACAGGAAGTCGGTCACTGGTGGGCTCGTCACAGTAGACGGGATACCCATAAGCTGGGTATGCAAGAAGCAGACGGGTGTGTCCTTGTCTACGATGGAAGCGGAATTCACCGCAGCGTCGGTCATGGCGCAAGAGCTACTAGGCGTAAGAGAACTGCTTAAGGAGCTGGAGATCGCGTTCGTGGAACCGATGCCGCTACGAGTAGATACCCAGGCTGCGCTGAAGCAACTCGAAGGTGAGGGTGCTTCATCCAAAGCGAATCATGTGGACGTACGGATCAAGTTCGTTGGACATTTCACCAAGGAAGGCGTACTGGGACCGGAGTATCGAGAGAGCAAGAGGATGCCTACGGACATCCTAACGAAGGCGTTACCGGCCCCGAGACTTGATGAGCTGCGAGTTCAGGTGGGATTGCATTAAGAACTGAGAACACACCGCCAGGACGCAGTGTCGGCGAGGAGGAGTGTTGGAAGATGATGCGCATGCGCGGGATCACTCTGGACGAGGGAACGACGAGCAGCTGCTACTGTCGGAGGTTTGTGGCTGGAGCGTGGTACGTATGGAGTGAGGAACGTGAGGCTGTGAGACCTCCACGTGGAAGACAGTAAGGATAGGATGAATAGGAAGGGTAAGACCGAATCTCACTCTCCCTTTTGTGTTGGAATCCACGACTGCGTTTCACACGAAGGCGCTGACCCAAGGGTCGAGCACTTCGAACACGACATTGTCCTCGATCTCCATCATGACTAATGAGCAAAAGATGGACTACCGGCACCTACGGAACCGGCTACGCTCGTACTTAACCGAACGCTCGCAAGAGTGTTAAATAACCCAATTTGCCCTTTTTATTTCAATGCGATCAAAACCCAACTATTCCAAAACCCATTTTCAGACACAATCTTCGATCAGCGCGAGCGGCAGCAGAGGCGTCTAAGAAGGCGTCCAACTCGATCTCTACGTCCCATATACCCCCCAATATCGCAGCCCAGCGTCTGCTCTATCCGCCCATATCGCTGTGTCTGTCTAACTGTGTCTCCAGCTCATGGGGCAGCACTTTCTGTTCCACCGCGATCTGGTGGCTGCTACGGCCGTTCACCACGCAGTTAACTCGCGGCTCTCAAGCGATCTACAGGCAGATTTAGTGCTTGTCGGCCCCCAATGGCTCCGTATCTACCGCGTGGAGCCTTCTCCGAGCCCCTGGAGCGTCGTAGAAGTCTCCAAAGGCCATGTCCTTCACCTTATGGCCTCCTTCCCCTTAGCAGGAGTGGCGGAGAGCGTCCACGTGCTCAAATTCGACCGCAGTCTACTCAGAAAGAAGCATCGCTTCCTAGGAGGCGATGAAGTGCTGCTACTCACGTTCCCGCTGTTTAAATGGGTCATTGTGGGCTACGACAGACGCTTACGAAGTCTCGCGACGCTCGCCATGTTCTCCTTCGAGGAGGACGCTATCGGACCTGGAGCTACGCTGAAAGGAGAGAAGAATGGCCGGGAACAGCTGCTGGGACTCGCCACGCAAGCGTCCGCCCGCGTAGACCCACAGACACGCTGTGGAGCCATGCTCGTGTACTCGGACCAGCTGGTTATTGTACCCTTTCGAAGCGAATCGATGGAGTTATCGTTCTTCGAAGAAGACGACGAAGACTTTGACGATGGAGAACAGGGAGCGACAACTGCAGACTCGGAAGAAGAAGACGACGACGAGGAAGAGAAGAAACTTGAGGAGCTAGTGAACGAGAGCAAGCACAGAGGAGTCACGAGCGACATGAACAACACGCTGAACGCCTTACTGGACAAGAGCGTCAAGGTCGGAGCCAAACGCAAGAGAAACCACATGAGTGGCCTCATGCCGAACGACATAACCGGGCGAGAATTCCTCCTTCGACTACGAGAAGTGGAGATTACGGGCAAAGTGATCGATCTGGCCTTCCTGGACGGCTACTTAGAGCCCACGTTGATGGTGTTGCACGAGGAGAACGACAAGAACTCGACGTGTGGACGGCTAGCTGTGGGCTTTGACACGTACTGCTTGACTGTCATCTCCATCAACATGAAGACGAGACTTCACCCGAAGATCTGGACTGTCAAGAACCTCCCGTCCGACTGTTTCCGATTGATCCCGTGTCGTGCACCGCTTGGTGGAGTCGTGGTCTTGTCGGCCAATGCGATCCTGTACTTTAACCAGACGCAGTTCCATGGCTTAGCGACGAATGTGTTTGCGAGCAAGACGGTGAACCAGTCAGTGTTCCCTCTCAGCGAGGCCGTGTACGAGACTCCCGAGCACGAGACGGTGCAGCTGAATGTGGTGCTGTACGACTGCCAGTTCGAGTATTTGCAAGAGAAGGAGCTGTTGTTGACGATGCCTAGTGGACAAGTGTACGTGCTGTCGCTGCCCTATGAAGACACGTCGAGTCGTGGACTGTATGGCTTCGGTGGAGTATCGTCAGGTCGCAATGCGTCGCTATCGCTACGAATGCTTCGGTCTAGTATTCAGGCAAGCTGTGTGTGTATCGATGACGAGAAGCAGACGCTGTTTATCGGCTCACGGTCAGGCGATTCTGTGCTTTTTGCGCTGGACAAGAAGAAGTTGGTTACTGCCACGGAGGAAGAGCAAAAAGACGAGGAAATGCCGATCAAAGAGGTGGTAATAAAGCAGGAATCTGCCCCGGAGATCAAGTCGGAGCCAGCTGAGGAGGAAGAGGAAGACGAAGATGATTTGTTCCTGTATGGTGCAGCTCCTACGAAGGAAGAGCCTGCAGCTACGAGCTCTACTGAGTGTACTAACGGCGTGGGTGTATCGAGTGTGAAGACAGAGGAGAATGGCGCGCCTGAGCAAGACACTGGCTCGTACGACTACGAGCTGCGACAGATTGATGTGCTACCCAGTATCGGACAGATCACCTCGATTGAGTTAGGCGTCGAGAACAACGCAGACTCGAATGAAAAGCGTGAGGAGCTGGTGATCAGCGGAGGATATGAACGTAGCGGCGCCATCTCCGTGCTGCACAATGGCCTGCGACCAATTGTAGGCACCGAAGCAGAGCTGAATGGCTGTCGAGCCATGTGGACAGTGTCGTCGTCTTTACCGTCAGCAACCAGAAGCTCGGACGGACGGAGTTATAATGCGTATTTGATACTGAGTGTTGCTCATCGGACAATGGTACTGCGCACTGGCGAAGGTATGGAGCCTTTAGAGGACGACAGTGGCTTTTACACGTCTGGGTCTACGCTTGCGGCGGCGAATCTGTTCAACAAGCAGCGCATTGTTCAGATATTTAAACAAGGCGCACGTGTGATGATGGAAGTACCGGAAGAGGAGACATCCAATGGACAAGAGAAGTCTGCAAAGACAGAAGGTGCAGAGGACGAAGAGGAAGACGACGAGGATGACGGACCCAGAGTCAAGTTGGTGTGTACACAAGAGATCACGTTGGAGGGTGACGTCGAGTGTGGAGGCATGAACGTGGACACTTCTAGCGTCGGAATCGTGTCGGTGGATGTCGTGGATCCGTATATTCTTCTACTGTTGACTGACGGCTCCGTTCGTCTGCTGATGGGAGACGAAGAAGACTTGGAGCTGTCGGTGATTGACCCGGAAATCGACTACGCGGAAGGCATTTCTGAGGCCAATGGAAGTGCCGATATGTCCAAGCACGGCAGCAGTTCTGCGTGTCTCTTCTACGATTGGGCTGGTATGTTCGTTGAGAACGCGTGGGTAGAAGAAGAGCAGGAGGAGCGTCACGAGGCTACACAGAGCAGAGCAAAACGCGCAGAGGACGACGATGATATGGACGCGTTGTACAGCAGCAAACCGAGCCCCAAGGTGGCCACGACGAACGCTACCAAGTCGACGCCAAGCACAGCTACACCGAGGAATGAGGACGGGTCTGTGTCGATCCCGTTATTACAGCAAAAAGACGCCAAGATGATGTGTGGCATGTGCTTCGGAGATGGTTCTCTGCATGTGTTTTCTCTCCCTGACTTTAAGAAGCGAGGCGTGTTCCCCTACCTCACGTTTGCCCCGCAGTCTTTGGTGAACACACTGGAACACTACCAAGTGGGCAGGAACAAGACAGTCAAGTTGTCAGCCCCCGTTCTTGGGCTCAATGCGTCGACGTCGTCAGCAAACGACGGTCGCATCAAGAAATCGCACACGATCAACTCGCCAGTAGCAGACATCGTCATTCATCGTGTGGGGCCAAGTGAAGGGCAGCACAACGCGCAGTATCTCTCTCGCATGGTGATGCTGGTGTTTCTAGCCAACGGCGACTTGCTCATGTACTCGGCTGCACCAAAGTTCGAGAGTTTAAAGCCTCGAGCCAACGGAGAAATCGCCCCCGTCTTCCATTTCGTACGCGTGGGGACCGAGCTGATCACGCGCCCATTTCTGCCCCCCAAGGCGCGTACGAATGCGCACAATGAAGCTGGCAATAACCCGGAAGTCAACACTAGCGCAGTGCTAGCGAAACTTCGCGCCGGCTTCCGGTATCCCATGCTGACGTGCTTCCACAACGTCAACAATATGAGCGGCGCGTTCTTCCGAGGAGCTCACCCGATGTGGATTCTGGGAGACCGTGGCCACGCGTCCTTCGTCCCCATGTGCGTCCCTAGCTCCGCTCCGCCCAAGGCGAATGGCACGTCCAAGAACGCCGCGCCTCGAGTGAGTGTGCCAGTGCTGAGTTTCACGTCGTTCCACCATTGGAACTGTCCGAATGGCTTCATCTACTTCCACTCCCGCGGTGCGCTGCGAGTGTGCGAGCTTCCGTCCAGTAAAACGTCGACGATCCTGCCTTCCAGCGGCGGGTTTGTGCTCCAGAAGGCGGAGTTTGGAGCAACGTTACACCACATGCTGTACTTGGGCAGTCACGGTCCCGGAGGTGTGGCAGAAGCGCTTGAAGCGCCAACGTATGCTGTCGTTTGCAGCGCCAGACTGAAGCCAGCCGACGCAGATCGAGCCACGGAAGTGGAAGGCGCAGAGGAGGAGCTGGAACCGGAGAACTTGGACCCGAACGGGAACCCTCTCGGCAGTAACGTGATGGCGCCGACCGCCGAAATGTTCGCGGACTACGAGACCGACCACATGGCGCACACTGAAGAAGACGTGTACGAGTTGCGCTTGGTACAGACGGACGAGTTCGGCGAGTGGGGACGTCGTGGAGTGTTTCGTGTCCACTTTGAGCGCTACGAGGTGGTGCTCAGTGTGAAGCTCATGTATCTGTACGACTCGTCTCTGATGAAGGAGGAAGTGGCGTCGACGTCTCCGGAGTGGAACAAGAAGAAGCGTCCGTACTTGGTGGTTGGCACGGGCTGGGTGGGTCCCCATGGCGAGGATGAAAGCGGTCGTGGTCGCCTGCTGCTGTACGAACTTGACTACGCGCAGTACGTAAACGAGGAAGGCGGCGCGACAAGTGGGAAGCTGCCCAAGCTGCGACTGGTATTCATCAAGGAGCACAGACAGGGAGCCATCTCCATGGTCTCGCAGCTCGGCCCGTACGTGTTGGCCGCCGTGGGCTCCAAGCTCATCGTGTACGAGTTCAAGTCGGAGCAGTTGATCGGCTGTGCGTTCTACGACGCGCAGATGTACATCGTGACACTCAGTGTGGTCAAGGACTTTGTCATGTACGGAGACGTCTACAAGAGCGTGCATTTCTTGCGTTGGAGGGAGATGCAGAGGCAGTTGGTGCTGCTAGCCAAGGACTATGAACCTCTGGCGGTATCTGCGACAGAGTTTAGTGTGTTTGAGAAGAAACTGGCGCTGCTAGCGGTGGATATGGACGAGAACCTGCACGTGATGCAGTTCGCCCCGCAGGATATCGAGTCTCGCGGTGGCCAGCGTCTGCTGCGCGTGAGCGACTTCCACTTGGGCGTCCAAGTCTCGAGTATGTTCCGGAAGCGGGTGGATGCGTCTGGATCGGTGGTGTCGGCTACAAACGGTCGCAATGCAGCGCCTCTGTCCAACTACGTGAACGTCATGGGCACGTCGGAGGGAGGCGTCGGCGCTCTGGTTCCTGTCGGCGAGCGCGTCTTCCGTCGTCTCTTCACGTTGCAGAACGTTATGGTGAACACGCTGCCTCAGAACTGTGCGCTGAATCCACGGGAATTCCGCATGCTCAAGACCAACGCGCAGCGACGATGTGGCAGACCGGACGCTTGGAGCAAGAAGAAGTGGAAGAAGAGCTTCCTGGACGCCTTCGTGCTGTTCCGGTTCCTGCAACTGGACTATGTGGCGCAGAAGGAGCTTGCACGCTGTATTGGTACCACGCCCGAGGTGGTTATGCACAACCTGCTCGAGGTGCAGCACGCCACGTCGACGTTTCTCTAGAAAGATCCAGCTCGCTGCATCGGTACAGTAGTCGATAACCTGCTGGAAGTGCAGCAGCCCACTCCGACGTTTTCAAAACCATAAGAAGTGAATTTGTCATGCCTTAAAATGAACGGTAGCACTTGAACACCCTAACTAAAGTCCGTCTAACTTAAGTAATGTAAACCTTTGCGTGGTGTTCGAGACACATTTATCTTGGCGAATTTAAGCCTTTTGGTCTGTTCAATAGCTCAAGTGCTGAAGTAAATTAATTTACAATTTGAGCTGAAAACGTTGGTTTGGGATATGAGCAGAAATTATCTGAATTACCAGCTCAAATATTAGAGCTCCTTCGTGTAAAGGCGCGACACTGTCATAAATTGTTCGAGCGGCACAGTGTATCAGGTTCGAATTCGGTAGAAGCACGGTTGACTTTGACGCACTTACTCCAAGTCAATTCTCCTATAACGGTAAAAAAATCCTAAGTGCCGTTTAAAAAGGCATTGCTTAAACATTTGGAGATGCTTTTAGACTGGGCGCCTTTCAAAAATGGAGTAAACGCCCGCCTTATTCACTGCAGTTATGCCAGTGTTTAAACTCGACATAGAAGTCATGAGACGTAAATTCGGTCTCAGTAAACTCACCTACCCCTAGCTTTACGCCGCCCTCTTGCCTTAAACGAACATATTGACTTTTGTATAAAGTAAGGTGACCTGCACTCTAACAGATAATCCATCACTCTACTAACATATATCTTTTAAATTCCCGTCACAGTTGATTGTTAAACTGGACAGCAAGGCCACAAAGCACCGCCCCGGTATGTATTGCGATGGCTGAGGTGATGATAATATAATTTCTAACTGTAGCGTAATGTGAGCAGAGACTATGAAGCGCCGATCTCACTCGGTGTTGTTTTGGAAACAACGGTGCATTCAAGACACGTCGAGTGACGATATAAATGTACCGCCAAACGTGCATTTGGGGCCTCGAAGCAGTGGCGCCAAGTCCAGCAGCGCCAGTTATTTTCCAGTTGATTCAGAGACGGAAGAAGAACTGTTTTCTTTGTCGGGAACGATGACCACGACATGGGCAACACCGCGGCGAAGCCAGCGGCCCATAGAAACTGGTCTAAAGTCGCCTCCACAGCAAGATTCCCCCGGCATCTCTGTTGCGTCTCCAGTCCCCGCTCGCTTCATTGCCAGCCCGACAACTTTGTCCCCTGTGTTGCTCGAGACGCCACCTAGTCGTGCATCTCGACCTCCTTCAAGGTCCCGTCCAGTTGTGTGCTCTGTTCTTGACAACCGTTCCAGCTCCCGCCAAGACCGTCGTACCCCTCGGCTGGGCCACAGAACTCAAGCTGCGCGAGCTCAAGCTGAGCCATACTGTCGACGACGAGTGTCTCCACCTCGCCATCACGAGCACTCGACCATCACCTCTTGCGGTCTCATGCGTACAAGTCCGGATCCGACATCTCGTCTGCGGTCTCCCAGCTCTCGTCCGCGACGAGAATTCATCCCAGCTCGATGGCCTAGTCGTGTGGCCCACCTCAGGGATCAGTACAACCCGTTGGGAATTGTGTTCCCGCATGTTCCTCACTTTGGATCGTGCGGGTGCCGATCGGCTTGTCGTGTTGGCACATGCACCAACTCGCTCATGCATTTGTACTGCAATATCAACTGCTGCCCCTACTTGGGTCACTGGGGAACGGTCTGGTGGAGTCAGCCAAGGTGTTCCTGGCGCGCAATGTACGGACGCGAGCTCTGGGCGTCGTTGCAGCGGAGACGATTGGGGTCGGAGAAATTCTGGGTCAGTATCTAGGAGAGCTTGAGCACGTCAGCCTCGGTCGAGCTAAGCTGTACCTCCGCTTGATACCGGTATTAGAAATAAATGTGTTTACTTGATACCCATGCCGTAATCAAATGCATTGTTTCATTGGACTTGTCATCATTTTCTGCGTTAAAGCTTAGGGCAATGCGGGAAAGGCAGACTCCCCGCTGCTACCGGTATTAATACCTTCTGGCAAATTACCTGTGCACCAAGTTTGTTCAAACGTTGATGTCAAAAACCGAATACGGTACCTGTTAAAGTTTAACGCAGAAAATGATGACAAAAACCGAATACGGTACCTGTTAAAGTTTAACGCAGAAAATGATGACAAGTTCAATGTAAGGACACGTTAATTTCTAATCAAGAGAAAAAATCTCGTTCTGATAGACTCCTGGAACATTCTCGTAAAAGCGTTTTTTTACGAGCTGGTTCAAGATAACGGTGTTTTTTACGAGAATGTTCCAGATTGACTTGGAGTCAGTGCTTGTTCTAAGTAGCGACAAACTTTAAGCATTTAAAGCTGCTCATTTTGGGTTCAGTGTACGTATTCGGCAGCATTCTTCTGTCTGATACTAGAAATGAAAGTACTTTACGCACCAAGTTTGTAAAAAAAACGGTATTCGCACCGGTACATATACCGTATTGCGGAGTCGTGAAAACGTGGGGCGATAAAAGGAAACGAGAACGAGCTCTAAGTATGGGTTTTGTAAATGTCGGTCATTGCTACCCATATGTACCGTACCGTATTCAAGTTCTGGCTCTTTTCGAATGATGCGATAAAAGGAAACGAGCTCTATTAATAAGTATGGGTTTTGTAAACGTCGGTCGTTGCTACTCGTACCGTATTCAAGTTCTGGCTCTTTTCGAATGAACCATCATATCCAGTACAGACACATACAGTACTGAACCCCGTTTTCGGGAAGGTGGACCATATAGGATTGCAAATAAATAAGATTTTAGCATACAAAATATGGTTCATTTGGATTCAGGATCATCATATCCGGAAATTTATCGAAGGTCCAAGGGCACGAAAACGGGGTGCAGTTCTGTACCGGTACTGCGAAATCGACTCTCACCCAATCGTTTCACAATAAGTATTGGTAATCAACGCATGCGAACTACATGTACGCATGCGTTGTTCAATCCCTTGCGTACAGCTCGTTCGCGGGGGGTCGTCGTCGTTTGTGGATGTGTTTGTAAGCAGCCACTCATTAACTGTGCAAGACAAAGAGCATACCCCGTAAAACAAATTAAATAAAGGAGAAACATGAGTCCAGTCTCGCATGACACATTTTCCTACAAAATTGTTACATGTACAAACATGGATCTTAATTATTATACTTAAGCATTGGTGTACCGTAACCTCACTGCTAAAAAGCTCAATTGATGTACAAAACGCTGGTAAATTTTGCACTTTTTAAAAGTATTCTGGCCAGAAAAATGCATGCATGTGGAAATTTGAATAATAAGTCTGTGGAAATTTGAATAATAAGTCTGTAGAAATTTGCTTACAGACATTAGTTTAAAAATGATGTGTAATCATAGTAAAACTTGATTTTCTTTTCTCGATTTGAACAGTGTTGTATTATTGGTAGCGCGTGTTTGCCCTGTGCCCATAAATTACTCTCCCAAACAAAAAGGCAGTCGTTTTCGGACAAGCACATACGGTACTTGAGTCTTGCCCAGGAAAAATGGTATGTTTCTCGCTGAGATCCTGGTATGTATTTACATGTTGATTTGCGCATGCAGGTTATTTACAGCGAGAGTGCAGCGGTCTGTGCTGAGCTCTCTTCGCATGTGATTATCTTGATTGTAACCCCCCTTTTTGGAGGATAACCCCCCCCCGTGGGGGGGGGGGCGCATCCTGGGGCCTTCGGGTTTCTAATACCTAGAGCGTAGTACCTGGTACGTCGGTGGAGTGTAGTATTAATAGCTTAAACGATTACACATGTGCACCTTGACCGTGCGAGTGCGCAGTGCCGTCCATTACCTATCGCTTAATAAAGCTACCGGTATTGCCGAGATCAAATTCTTCACGGATACCGGTACATGCAACCAAGCTCTCGTATCACCAGATGGTGCGATAAATCAGTGCTACAGTACCTTTTGGAAACAGACTGCATGCACCCTGCACAACAATACTGTACATGTACTGGGTCATTGGATAATCAAGAGAACAAATCCGTTTCTATGCGACTCGCATCCATCCTCCTCTTCATTTCAACCATCGTACTGCTCGGAAGAGGAAACGCTCTTCCGGGCGACGACGTCCTCGGGGGCGTCTGTTTATCACTCTGCTGGAATCCAAAAGAGGTCTCTCCGTAATCATGAAGAAGAAAGAGGCTACAATATCTTTAGGATGACCGAGAAGGCCAGAATGGCTGCGCGACGTCACTGTGTATGACGAAATTCTTGCAAACCCCAACTACCTCACAGCTTTTGGAATGTGGAAACAAAATGGGTATTCCGAGAATAACATCTCGCGTGCGATGACTAAGCTAGGCAAGAATTCGGATGAGATCGAGAGTGTCTTGGCTAGCTACCGCAAGATGAAAAACGTGAAAGTAAGATAGAGCGATCTTGTTCTACAGTGCAATCACGAGGACGGTACCAACATATACCACGGTAGATGTGAAGGAGCAGCCGGAAGCAGAGTAACGAGTAGTGTGACTGGCAACAGCCCGCGCTTTAGAGCGATAATACACAAACCCGCACTATCGGTTATTCTTGCAAGGAAAAAGAATTTGCCCACTTATGAAAGTCAAGTGTCGCATCGGCGTTATAAATAATCACTTTGCAGTTTGATCTAGCCGCGTTCTCTTTATAGGTAACACTGTAGCACTGCAGAATCAGTATCAGGCATAGTAGTAGTAAGTTGGCCATGACATTGATACCCCTGATGTTAAGGCCGACTCCTAAAAATAAACTTCGTTTAGTAGTATTAATTGTATTTAATTCATGAACACTTCGTAGTCAGGAAATGGATGGCTCCAAGTACAACTTCGAAAAATGTTTTCCAGTTTTGAGCCACTTTCCGTTTTTGCTTTGTAGCTCACCGCCATACATTTCGAGCTGTACAGCTAATGGCATTTCTAAAACATGCCAAAAATAAAACTCAACTGAAAGTAAATTTACTTCATAAGTAGTAATATCCAGCAGAAAACTCCGCCAGTTTTTTTTCTACATTAAATTTAACAAGGAGAAAAGGTTTAATCGTTTCTAAGTGCGAGGAGCAGTTTCTAACGAGGCGACTACTCGACCAGCGAGAGCGCAAGTGTCGCAGGTAAAGCGTCCGCACAACCTCTAACCATTGGGTGGCAAAGTATATATCACC